AGGGTTCAGGGGATCTCGTAGTCGAGCAGTCTCGACTAGAGCTTTCTTACTTGTTCTTCTTATTTTTGTTGTAATTTTTTATTCTTTTCTTTATATTTATTCGCTGGCTGCGTTTTTTGCCTTAATTTTTTCTTTTGCTTTAATTGCGCTGAATCCGCTGTAAAAGGCGACTTCGACGTCAACGCTTCGACTCTGAGCTGCGATCAATTTGGAAACTCATTGAAAAACGTTTTCGGGCAATGTGCATAAATTAGCTGCGCCACAAAAATACAAAAAAAGGCCTAAGTCAGAAAAAATTAAAAAAAAAAAAAAAAAAAAACAATCGAAAAAATGGCAACAAATTAAAACGACAAAATACAGTGAGACTTACCTTAGCGCCAATCTGGTTGCCGCACTGTCCAGCCTGCAGATGCACAATTTCCCTCATTTTGATTTTTGGGGCTTTGATTTAACTATTCAACGAATGCTGAAAGCGTGGGACGCAGCTCTTCAGCAACTGAATGGGGCCTGTACCTCAATAACTGAACCTGAATATGGATTTGTCGATCTTTCTTACGTGCGTGTGTACGTGCCTTTCTTGTGTCTGTATTTGTTCGTGTTTGGTGGTGTGCACTGATTACTCTCACTGTGTGAGCTCTGAAAGGGGGGCCGGAGCAGAACGCGCTACTTAACCGCACAACGCACAAAACTCAACTGATCGCAGTGCGACTGCCTCGGAGGCAGGTCCCCAGCTGAAGTCCACTGCCCAACCCAACGGACGTCGCTGCGACGTCGAAAGCGACGTCGACAGCGGCGTCGTGCTGCTTCGGCTGACTGGTGGAAGTTGCGACTAGAACGAGACGGCTGATCACATGCTTGCACACACACACACACATACACACACTTATATATTGCATACTCGTGCCATGTTCTTTGGTTAGAAACAGCGGCGAAGCTAAGTTTAGGTTTTCAGTTGAAAAAAGGAAAGCACTCATCGTAGTTGAAATTCAATAAATATGTATATTTGTATATCAATTGGAGAAACTAACCTTAAAAATATAATTATTTCTCCAGATGAATTGAATAAAACTACTAATAAGAGTACTAATAAAGAGTAGGCTGAATCTATTTATACGTACAAAGAAAAACGCGAGGAGAGAGATAAAGTCAGTCGAGTCATTCATATGAGCTCTGAGGAAAAGCGCTCGCAGACAGACTTGGATTTACATTCTGAAAAACTGTCTGTTAAACTTCTCAAATGATAGATGTCTTGAAGATTACTGACTGATTAAAGTATTAAATTAAAATAGCTTTGCTTTAATTTACTCTATCTTTTTTGTTTTAGCAAAGAAACAAATTCTGTCGAAGCTTCGGCTAGAATTATATCTTCTTATATCTTCTGAGATCGACGCGTTCATACATACGGACGGACAGACAGACGGACAGGGCTAAATCGACTCAGCTCGTCGCCCTGATCAAGAATATATATACTTTGTGTGGTCTGCCACGCCTCCTGCCTGTTACATACTTTTAACGAAACCATTACACTCGGATTTCCCATTTTCAATGGGTTCAGTGTATAAAAATATATGTGCATATATACATATATGGAAGCAATATGATAATATCCGCAACAAGTGTAGATTCGATTGTAATAGTATGCCGTTCTTTGACAGCATGACGTGAGTGACGATTCGAGTGATTCACACATTATACATGTACAGGAGATATGAGAAATGTTCATTTCTTCATTCACTGAGGTAAATAATCAAGAGGCTATCTGTGGGGTTCCATAATGCTGCTAACCTTTGGTCACTATGCTTGTTTATTATGGCATATTCAATTAGTCGAGCACGACAGGTCGAATGCCTCCATCTATTTGAAAATGAATACTCGAGTATCTCTGACTGCGTTCCCTTCCCCTTCTCTTTTTTAGGTTCACAAATTTTAACGCTGTCAGCAGCAACAGCACCGCCTTTGGCGTTCTATTTTTATCAGCGCAGCATGTTAAGGTATGGTACACACACACACACACATATATGGCTTCTCCCCCTCCTGCTCTCTCCTTTTTTATTTCTCTCTTCTTCACTCCCTGTCTCCGTTTCCTTCTCTGGACCATAAGTGTCACCGCAGTCATTAGAGGCACTGGGGGTTTATCCACATGCGCTTTCGCTTTCATTTGACAGAGGCATGGAGACTGCAGTCGACAAGCGTCTATTTTTGGTTGCACTTCGGTTCGTTTCGTGGCACTCGACGCTCTGCCTATGTATTTCCTTGGAAATCAATCAATGGCCCTCCGGCCAGTTAGGATAGTCTGTAGTCGCTTTGCCTTCTAATTACTTTCAAGTTGAAAGGCACTCACTGCCTTCCGAACTGCACTTTCGACGCTTTTCAAGTGCTTTCCCTATGGTCGCATCAGGAGGCTATTTATGCCTGACCGCGTGGGAGTGGGTAAGTTTAAATGGCCTACAAAACAATCTCGAACTTATGGGCATGAATATTTAAAATGTTATACATTTACTCCCACTCCGCCCGCATTCAAGTCCATGCCCAGTTCCACGCCCAGGTCTATGTCCAGGTCCTTGCCAGCCTAAGCAGCACGAGCGAATACAATTTTTGGTTGGTTTACCTGACAGTTTTTGGTTGGCCAAATAAGTGCGGAATGATGGCATTACCAAAACAGACGGACTCATACAAAGTTGCTATTGTGGGTGAGCAGTGGTTGATAAGATATTTAAGGTTGATCATATTTACAACAAAATTATACACTAAATAAATTTATATCTGTTATCTATTGCAGATTTCGGACTGGAAAATAGAAAATATTTGAGTTAAATTGTATTTTTTAAAGGATGTATTCAAGTTAGCATTATACAATATACGATTTTTAAAATATCTTTTCAAATACAGTTTGCGTTTTCTGTTTTTAATTTAGTAAAATGCTAATTCCTTGAAGGCGTCTTATATGTTATTATAAAATATATTACATTACTGGAGAATCAATTCATGGCCGAAACTGATTTTAAATCTTATACTCAAAATCTTTTAAGTTTTTCTTTCAAGTTTTTCTTTTTAGATCAACAAATAAACCATGGAAACAACAAATTTAAAGCTGTCGTCCCTTTAGTCCTCTGTCAACATGATTACAACACTAACAACAACAACTAATACAATACCCACATGCACACACCAAAACCAATGGACGCCCTTGGCCTGCCTCAACTGTTCTATGTGGCCGAACCGAACGCTCACAGCTGCCTCGCCCACAAAATGTGTAAAACGTTTCAGAAAAAGTAACAAATGTTTTTTTAGGATTTGTGTTTTGGGAATTTCTGCACTTGTGCAAATAAATGTAAGCGCAAAGCACGCATAAACGCACACAAGTATATACTGATTATATATGTATAGCGTATACTATACATGTAGGCAATAGGCCAGACATAAAACAATCTAATCTTTTTCGTTTTTCAGTTCAAGTTTTTGCCAGTGTTTTGATGTATTTAATGCAATTTGTGGGTGCATATGTGTAAGTGTGTGCATGTGTGTGTGAGTTGAGCTTGGAAATAAATACATATGTACTTTTGGCCCTATGGTAAATTTTAACTCATTTAGTTTATTGCTTCTTATTATTTCTCTATTCTGCTTTAAAATTAATTCTGCATAATTGAAAAAAAAAAAATAAGTAAATAAAAATAATAAATAAATAAAATTGAGGGCTTTTTGTGCTGTGTCTGGAAATTTTTGTATCCTTTGGCAGCATTTTAATTGAATTTGATTGATTTTTGCTGATTGAAAAATAATATTGTTGTAAAATCATAATGATTCTGACGGCTGCCCGGGGCGCAATACAATGGGCGTGCCGCCCACCCCTGGGCCACAATAAATAAAAATCGAGCACTGCCTAACAAAAGCAACACCTGTCCGATTCGTCTATGTCAGTGAAATGTGCTGAGAGGACAAGTGGGTCTGTGCGTGTGTGTGTGGCATACTTTCGGGCGCTTTGTTTGCGCAACAACGAATCTGCTACAGGCGCAGGGAAGACGAATAGAATAGCCCGTCTAAAATATAATAATTGAGAGCCCATGAAAATGGCGAACAGATTGATCTCGGCGCTTTAAGAGACAAAGTACAAATTCGATGAAACGATTTGTGATTAAAACATTAATTCCCAACTTACTATGAATAAGCCAAACGGGAGAACTAATGACAATGCACGATGGAATAGATTAACGTTAACTAGAAGTATTTTGCTGTCAACTATCAATAATTGATTGTATGGCAGGAAGCTTTATTTAATTACTACATATTATTTTGTATTCCAAAAACTATTGAGCTATTGAGCCAATACGTTTCATTGTACTCTTCGCATTGCATTTGGAAATAAATGCATAGGGAAATAAATGTTAAGCTTGTCGAGTCGAGTCATTTCATCTAAAAGTCAAAATTGAATTAGGTTTTCTTCTCCTATTCTCCCGGTCCTGTGAAACTCTGCCAATTGCAATCTAAAATTTATGCAACTCATTTTTCAGCGACGATATTTTGCTGGAGCTGCGCTGGCAGGCCAACAGCTGTTGCCTTTGGCTGTAACAATAGTTTTTGATGCCAATTAGTTGTGTTAATTGCGAGGAAAAAACGTCAATTATGCAACACTGGATGACATGCAACATGCAACACACAACAAGCAACAAGCTGCACATTAAATTGATATTTAATTGGATGCACATACGCTCATACGCCGCGCGGACAACGCAGTGACCCAAGTGCTCAGCTTTCAGCCTTCGGGCTCCTGCCTCCTTCTGTCTGCTGCTGGCGCTGGCTTTCAGCTTTATGTGTGCGCTGCAGTAATTTCAATAAATCTTGGCAAGCCCCTAAAAAATATTAGCATAATAAAAGCGCGACAACAAAACAGAAGGGTCAATATTGGCAGACAGTAAGACCTGCGGGACACAGGGAGCAGGCCACAGGACACAGCCCACAGGACGCAGGACACAGAGAGACGAGGTCGATTTCTATGAGCTGTAGGCGAACGCATTGCCACATTTACACACAGGGCGTTGGTGAATTTATGGCAGCAACAAGCGGCAGGCTTTGCCCTGCTTGATACGGATATATAGTCAACGTCCTAAATACGCATAATTTCGCTGAGGCTCGTATTTGGGCGGGTGGGTGTGGCAATGGGAAAAATGCGCGGACCTATCGATCAGCAATAAAAATTCAAATTTTGCCAAGGACGGCCGAAAATAATTTATATACGTACACACGTATACACACATACACTCACACACACATATGTATATATATATACAGTTAACAAAATGAGCAGCTGTCCTTTGATGTATTTTAGTATTTTGTGCGACTGAAGTCGCATACAAAAGTAACAGTTTAAATAATTTTATTTTTTAGTCTCTCCATAGTAAAAAATCAAAGAGAGGAAGATTTTATATCTGTATCGATTTAAATAGCAAATTTTGCAAAAGCTCCTTAAATCATTCAAAATAAATTGAAGAGTGTATGAGCTAGTCTGCTTGGGTATCCAGTTTC